TTCAGAAATCTACCTTGTTGATTAAAACTTTGTTTTAGAACATTTACAGAGCTCTTCTGGAATGGGGTTCAACTTCCTCCATTGTCTATTTAGTCAATAGAGAAAAAAAACATGAAATCTGACACTTATTGGGCCATGGGTTCTTAATTACTGGTGGCCCAAGATGAAGGCCCATATATGTCAAACTGGACAGAGGACATCAAATGGACCATTTGCAGGTTCTCTACTGCTACAAGTTGGTCCCTTGTAATAATAGAAGAAATTATACCATATTTTTCAAAAAGCCATAGTAATCCGATGATAAATCATCACTGCTTCACTTCAGGTGAATCTTAGAATTAAAATGTAAATATTTTACCTTYTGTTTAAAAAAAAAACCATGTTTATTAACAATTTTATTTGTTTTGTAATAAAATAATATACTTCATCAATACAATTCTTCAAGTTTATAAAAACAAAAACAAATTATTTGAAATGAAATAAATGGAATTATACTAAAAAAAGAGGGCCCTTATTTCATATTACTTAATATCCTTTTGGCTTTTGGTTGTCACTTTTTGATGCAACCAAAGCAAGGAAAAAATGTAGAGTTTTTAGTATGATTTTCACGTGGGTTGGCTGCTGTTTGTCCCCTCAAAAGTCACAGCTTTCCTTTAAATATGATATGCCATCTTCATCCACATACCCTCCTTGGTCGGATCCAATTCCACACCACCTCATTCCTAGCTATTACAATTTTATATACTTCTCTTTTTAGGTTTGCAAATTGGTTAGAAAAAGAGAAGATCATGGATATATTTAGGAGGGACAACATCTCCATTAATATGAGATCTTTTAGTGAGACTTATGTAAAAAACGGACAATATCATAATACTTGAGGTGARCTTCTCAATAATTTGAACGTTAGTGTACAACTAACCCGTTTCTTGATTGTCACTGTCCTTTATTTATTCTTAATAATTGGGCCGAATGAGTTTTTTTGTTTTTTATTTGCAGTAGAATGAGATCAATCATTCTATTATTCAACGATATATTACTGCAGTAATGTCTTATTTAAAGGCTGCAAAGTTCAAGAAGTGGATGCCATATTTAAAGTTTTACTAAAAGTATTTCTGAAAAGAAAGAAAAGCAAACGATTGTCCTTTAATGAATATATATATGTGGAGATTCAGATATTAGTGGCGTTAAAGAACAAGACCAAATTGAATGGTCCTAATTCATAAGCAAAGCAATACAGTTCCAGCCTAGCTACTACTTTTTTTTTTTGTGGGTTTTCTCGGCAAACTAAACCTTACACCTAGAGCCGAAATCTGGTGTTCAGAAAAGAGAATGAGCAGTGTTGTGTTGGATTCCAGATCTTTCAACCCATTTCTTTTGGAATTTTCTGGGCTATTCTTTTTAGGTAAGCGACTCCCCATCATCATATGCTTCTTTCTTGCCCCCCTCAATATTTCTCTTTTCTTCACACACTTTTTTCCCCCTTTTTTTGGGTTAAATTCTATCCAAAGCCAAAAGGCATGGTTTGTAATGAAAAGTTATATTATGCGTTACTAATAGGTATTAGGTAAGGCATATATGTTTAGTTCAAAGTAGAATTATTGAGCCAAACAAAACAAAGATATCATTTTTAGTTTATTGTGAATTAAAATAAGAGATAAAGAGGAAAAAGTATTTGACTTTTGGTGCATAACTATTATAAGTAAAAATATAGTATACTTGCAGGGAAGGACCGTAGTATCTATGGTGGGGCAGGGAGTGGGGTTTAATGGGCCCCATGGAAGGCTTTTGGTACACTCAAAGCGAGCCCATTGGGATAGGGCTGCTGGTGGTAGGGAGCCCAAATCCGTAACAACTAGGCCTGCTCCATGGGCCCATCCCATCAAAAGCAGAGTAAAAAAAGGCCGCCCTGTCTCTCACTCTCCCAGCACCCAAACAAAGATTAATTCAAAAAGTAAACACAACCAATCATTATGATTATTCATCTCACTTAGTCCTCTCCACAACTCTATTCACCATCTCGAAATTAAAAATTTTATCATACAAAAGTAACGAGAAATAGATGTTGGTTTTGCTTATCCAATGATTAAAAGAGTTGTATATTTGTGTCGTGTTGTGTGTCGTTTTGTGCCAAA